AGCTAATAAAAATAATTAATCAAATATAATTTGATTATAAATAAATTTTAAAAATTGAGATTTATAATATAATTTATAAAAAAAATTACAATTTTTAACCTGAAAAAATCAAGAATTGATTAAATAAATTTTTAAAAGTATCATAAAATAATATATGTGATTTTATTTCAAGGATAAATTAATATTTTATTATTTATAGTTTCAAGGTTATTATATGAATATAATAATATTCCTTTTATTTTTTTTATAAAAAATCAAATAGTACATAACACTTACAAAAAAAAAAAGAATTAATACTTAGAAGCATAACAAAACCTCTCTCCTTAAAGAATTTAAAAAAAACATTATTGATAATTTATGTAAATTATCGTTAAATGTTAGATACTTAAATGACATGTGATATATAACCATCCAACTTTAAAATAATTATTTAAAATAAAAAAATATTTAATTTTTAAATAATCTTTTTATAAATTATAAATAACTCTAAATTCAACTAATAAAATATTTGAAACTTTTTAATTTTTTTAAAATTAATTATTTTCACCGCATGCATAACCTTTGAGAAACCATATACTTCTACAAGTCTCCCGATGTAAGCTTTTGAGACCCAACTTCTCAGGACGCTACTTGGTAAGTGGATTGTTTTGCTTCTATAGTTAGTGAATTCACTTCTAGAACGACTAGTATCCTAATCATACTGTGGTATGAATACATAAATTATTATTAATAATAACAATATGAAAAACCCGCTCACATCGTAGATAAAAAAACTATTTGATTAAAGATAGAAATAAACTAATTAAATTAAAACTTTCTCTCTACCTAACTATATATTATTATAGAAACTCGAACGTTCTACTTGAAAAATGATAGTTTAGCCCCCGAGTAAACCCTAACCACAAAAATACGCAAAGCAAACAAGGTTGCCCTTGCCCTTATTCTGGTTTCGTAAACACGAAATCAAGACCCGTTTCAGGCTCATCCAGGATAATTGATCCGAATAAATATTTTTCTTGCTATACTTTCATGCACAAGGCCACACCTCACTCGGGTAAAATAACCTTTTTGGTCTCGTGGAGGCAGCAGATCAAAGAGAAGAACTTCTGCGTTTCATGTATAATTGTCCTTTTCAAAGAACATTCAATGTCACTCTCGTGATTAATATTTAATACCAAAATCAGAGCCTTTATTGAACGTTTTTCAAACCCATTAGGCTGCTGCTGGCTATGAGATCTCAATCCCCTTCAATTCCTGCGACACGCTTTTACTTTTGTCACCGGAAAACCATGCTGGCCTCCACCGCCTACAAGACCCCATGAAAGACGGCGCATCCTTCGTTGTGGGGATTCTTTTCTTGTCTTCTTGACCCCTTTCCCTTGGCTGTCGAGTGAAGAATTTACGTGGGATGTGTATGAGAAAGTTTTAAGCCTAGAAAAATATATAAGTGATTAAACAATAACATAATTTTTAGTTTGATTAATAGATTAGGGTAGAATCTGATAGACATGTTTTATATATAGTGTTCTATGTTATTTTTTATTTTTCTAGTTATTTTCATTTTTTAGTTGAGTTTTGGGATTTTATTTAATTTAAGTTTCATTAGCCAGATGAATTTTAACTGCTACAGTCTCTGTATGTCTCTGTATGTTATTTTTCATAACAGATTACTGAGATTATTATTATTATTATTAACTTTTAAAATTTATAAAATCATAATTTTTCTATATCTTAGCCGTGATTTTTAGTTCGTGTTTTAACTATTATTTAAATAGTCGGTGTGCTATTTTCAAAATAAATTATTAAAATTGTTGTTGTTGTTATTATTAATTTTTAAATTTTATCCTATCAAAGTTTTTCGTAAACACGAAATCAAGACCCGTTTTAGGCTCATCCAGGATAATTTGATCCGAAATAAATATTTTTCTTGCTATACTTTCATACACGAGGCCACACCTCCCTCAGGGTAAAATAACCTTTTTGGTCTCGTGGAGGCAGCATGTTTCATGTATAATTGTCCTTTTCAAAGAACATTCAGTGTCACTCTCGTGATTAATATTTAATACCAAAATCAGAGCCTTTATTGAACGTTTTTCAAACCCATTAGGCTGCTGCTGGCTATGAGATCTCAATCCACTTCAATTCCTGCGACACGCTTTTACTTTTGTCACCGGAAAACCATGCTGGCCTCCACCGCCTACAAGACCCCATGAAAGACGGCGCATCCTTCGTTGTGGGGATTCTTTTCTTGTCTTCTTGACCCCTTTCCCTTGGCTGTCGAGTGAAGAATTTACGTGGGATGTGTATGAGAAAGTTTTAAGCCTAATACGTAAGTGATTAAACAATAACATAATTTTTAGTTTGATTAGCAGATTAGGGTAGAATTTGATAGACATGTTTTATAAATAGTGTTCTATGTTATTTTATATTTTTCTAGTTATTTTTATTTTTTTAGTTGAGTTTTGGGATTTTATTTAATTTAAGTTTCATTAGCCAGGTGAATTTTAACCGCTACAGTCTGTGTATGTTATTGTTCATAACATATTATTGAGATTATTATTACTACTAATAAATTTTAAAATTTATAAAATCATATTTTTTTATATTTTAATCATGATTTTTAAGTTGTGTTTTAACTATTATTTAAATAGCTGGTGTGCTATTTTCAAAATAAACTATTAAAATTATTGTTATTGTTATTATTGATTTTTAAATTTTATCCTACCAAAGGTTTTGCTACAATTTATTTATGTTTTTTAGAATTAAGAAAAAACTAATTTTATTTTAAATTATCATTCATTTACTTGTGTGTGCTTGTTGTTAATGAAATTTATTGTTATAAATAGAAAAGACCGTGAATGGTAATGGGATGGAAGAGATTAACTACAATTTGTTAAGCTTTTGAATATTCAATTGAATACGTTTAAATATAATTTCCCCATCAATAGGGTCAAAATAAAATTCTTCCATTGAACAAGCATTGGCCGGAACTCCATGGCAAGAAAAATTGAGGATTTTCTCTTTTATTTTGCGAGGTTCATATCTTATTTACCTATTAACATCCATACTAATTTAATTTTACACAGCTCCCATCGATCATACCGAAAAGTTTAATTAATCAATAAATTTTATTTTACTCCATAAGAGTTTTAACCGAGTTTTACATAAATACGCTGACCTTATATTCATGTATAGAGATTACAGCTTCTAATTATTATGATTTAATAAACACTCTAATTAACTAATTAAATAAAAATTATAAACTTGATTGATAAAATTTTGCATTATGATCTGTATGTTGAAAAAAATGATAAATTTGATATTCTAAACTCCTAAAACACGAAGCTTTAGTATTATCTATTGTTGAAAATACCATGCATAAATATTTAATTTTTTTATTTTTGATTTGCTAATATTGCACACGTTTTAAATTTTGAATATATTCTATCTTTGTATCCATGGAGATGCTAAAAATTGTAATTATCATGATGTAATAGGATTTTTAATTAACTAATTAAATAAAGGATTTAAATAAAAATTCTATCTCAATTAGAAATCCTTCTTGCCACAGTCAATGATATCTTTGACTGCATTACTACCACTAATTAATCAACAAATAAACAAAAGTTGTTGCTGATTGACTTGGAATTGCGTCCTTAGCCGGAATCACTCGCAATTATTTAAATAAAGAACAAAATTAACAATCAATACATCACCATCCACAACAACGGCTAATTAAATTCTCTCCTCGAGTCAAACATTTTTATTACATCACATCTCATAATCTCGCCTAAAAAACCTTAAAAAACCAAACGACAAATGGCTAACGCGGTTTTATCTCCTTCACTAGCTGTCTTCCTCTTTCTCTCTCGTCGTATCTTTCTCTCACTAGAAAAATTACAGCAACAAGCTTCAGTTTCTCTTTCCAAAGAAGGCACGTACAATCTTTTTCTCTAAAACCCCACTACACGCTCAAAACCCTAACGACCCGTTTCAGATCTGCACAGCATCTCATCCTTCTGCTATGCACTTTCGAGGGAGAGGAAGGGATTGAAGTGTTAAGATTAGAAAATGTCTACCTCTGACCCGAAAGTCGGACCCAAACCAGGTCAGTGGCCACCAGCACCGGAATCTGCAGCAATGCCGCCGTCCTCCTGGGCTAAACGAACTGGGTTTAGGCCCAAGTTTTCTGGTGAGACCAATGCGAGCGATTCTGGACAGATTTCACTCCCTCCAAGGCCGAAAGAGCAAAAGAATTCACAGCCGGATGTTGAAGCGGTTCGGGTCAGGGCAACACAACCACCACCAGCGCCGCCTCCGGCTGCAGTGAATGGGACCGATAAGGCGGTGGTCGTTCCAGCAGAGAATAAGGATCAGACAGTGGTGAAGAGGAGGAGGGACTCTGATGGTGGTAGTGTTGGGGGAGCGAAGGATGGTTTGGGTCCTGGGGCGGGTCCGAATGGCGTGCCGGAGGGTCCGAGAAGAGCAGTGGTGAGGAATGAGGAAGTGATTGATGTGGAGGATGATGGATTTGTCAGAGAGAGACATACACATATGAAGTACGAGTTAAGAGACACTCCTGGTCTTGGTGAGTGTTTTTTTTTTTTTTTGGTCTGATTGGTTAATGACTGACTTAGTTGCAGCCCGATCGGTTATAAGGAGTTCGAGGGAAGTGAAAGTAGTGTGCTTGTTTTGTTGTTTTAATTGATAATTTGAATTGGGTTTTGTTTGGTTTCATAGATCGTATGGTTCTTTTCGGAGTTGTGACTAGTTTGGATTAGGTTTTCGTACTTCATCAGGTATTATGAGAGTAAAACAAGGTGTTATAAATGGATTTTTAGCAATTTCTTTAAATGGGACAGTGCTGATTTTGAGTTTTGGAGTTGAACTTGTTCGTTAGGAATTTTGCGAGTAGACATCATATTTTATTTTTTGCTGGTAGTTTGAAATAATTGGGTAGCACTATGATCGAATATTTGATGCGTGGGATTAGTTTATTTATTGGTGATCATTAGATATCGTGGGGCAAAAAAAAGACGCTACTTTTTGGTTAATTTTAGTGGTCATTTTAAATTCGCCAGGATTTGGTTTTTGGTATCGCGCTTCATGTTTTATTTGTTTATTCAATACGATGGAAGGACTCTTTTTGTTATTGGATTTACTGGCAACTAAGCAGGGTTTTGTTTCATGGTTTAATATTCGAAGCTTTATTTATTGATCCAAAATATAGATTGTAATGTTTAACTTTTTTATTTTTATTTGGTTTGTGGTTAATTTTACTGGCTTATTGTTTTTTGTAATGTTTCAGTTCCCATCGGTCTATATGGTTTCCAGCATTACCTTTCGATTTTAGGTTCATTGATTCTCATTCCACTTGTCATAGTTCCTGCAATGGGTGGCACTCATGTGAGTAGTGGTGAATTATTTCCTCGAACTTCTTATGATATTCACTGTCTGGTAGAAAATATACTGTGGTTATCTTGATCTGATCTGATTTAGTTGGTGTAGGAGGATACTTCAATGGTGGTGTCCACAGTGCTATTTGTTTCAGGAGTAACCACTCTTTTGCATACGTCATTTGGGTCAAGGTTGCCTTTGATACAGGGCCCATCATTTGTTTACCTTGCTCCAGCACTGGCAATAATCAATTCTCCTGAGTTTCAAGGACTAAATGGAAATGTAAGTTTCTTTTGTTCAGATTTTGTTTAGTTAGAACATACATGTCAGTGGTTGTCTTTTTGTGTTTGTTACCATGCAATTGAGATCACGAGCTCTTTTTTTTTGGTGCTTGCCTCTGCTAAAATAGGTGATGTTTTATACAAATTTCATTCTTTGTTCACTTGAATAATTATAACACTTTGATGTGGAAAGCACCCTGTTCACCTTTTACCATGTTGTTGTTTGTGTTTGCATGGCTTAGTTTTTCTTAAATCATTTTCTTTGAAATGTTTTGTATTATTTAGAGGATTAACAGCTTGCAATAACCAAAAGGCCAGTAGAATGTAGATGATTGATATTTCATCAAATCAGCTTGCTAACAAGACTGAAATAATGTTAACTGCACAGCCTTATTTAGCTTTGAAATTAAAATTTTGGGTTACTAGGTGATATTTGTGTCTTAAACATAAATTCTAATAAATATGAATTTGCTTAACCAAATCATACACTAGAATCTAGATACTGTATCAGAACTCTGTGCTAAAACTAAAAAGGCATCACAGAGTTATATGGCATCTCCGTTATATATATAGATCACCTGAAAGACTCTAAAAAGTGAGGGTTCTTGAGAATTTGTAAAATTTCCTCCTTTTAGTCCTGGCCCATCAACTGGCTTGCATTATCAAGAGAGTTGGTATGTATGTGATTGGTTGGTGGATTGTCATATTGGCTTGCTAATTAGCTCCTAAATTTTCATATTTTTATGCAAATTGATTGCTTAATTTTTCATGCTTAGCTGCTCAGACTTTTAAAATTTAAAGAATATGAGAATTTAGTAGTGATCTAAAGCAGTGGTTGGAATTTCCGAAAAATATTAAGTTTGCCAGGGTAAGAAGATACAAAGAAAGTAGAAGAAGACAGGACATACGTAGCAAGACTCGATCTGTAATTCTGTATCATTGATTGAAGATTGAAGTTTTATTATTTGTAAACCAAGCAATCATAAGTTATTATCTAAGTTTATGAAGAATAATTTTACAAGAAAGCTCAGCATGATGTTATGGAAAATTTGGTTACTGAGAAATATATCGTCCTTGCAAGATTTGTAAAATATTTTTCCTTTGGCAGAATTTCAAGCATATTATGAAACAGCTACAAGGAGCTATAATTATAGCTTCAGCTTTTCAAACAATACTTGGATATAGTGGACTGATGTCAGTATTTTTGAGGTACAATCTCAACATCTTTACTAGCTGCACTTTTTAATGAGTTACTGCTCCTTCACATTTTTGTAATTCCATGTTTTCTTTGAACGACATGCACTTTTTCTTTATTCCTGCAAATTGTAGTACCAAGAGCACTGTAGCTTCTCTCAAAAATAGTATCAGAATGCCCTTGAAGCATGAGCTGAAAACCATCTCTGTCAATGCTGGTGTTCTCAAAAATGTTCCTGGCTTGATGACTGCTTCCCTCCCTGGCTGTCTTTTGTCTCTCTCTAAAGATGCACAATAACTCAACGTCTGTTTTGTCTCCATTCCTTTTCAGGTTGATCAATCCAGTGGTTGTTGCCCCAACTTTTGCTGCTGTTGGGCTTTCTTTTTATAGTTACGGCTTTCCACGAGTTGGTACCTGTCTTGAGATTGGTGTAGTGCAGATATTACTGGTTATTATGTTTTCTCTTGTAAGTTTCGGTGAAGCGAAAGTTTGCCTTGAATTATAGTATTTAGTTTCTTTTGGGAGTATTGCCTTTTAATTCAATTTTTATTACTGCAAAAATTATTTATTATTGTTATGTGCTAAAACATCTATTTTTTTCCCATGCTTTCTGCAGTACCTGCGCAAGATTTCTGTTTTTGGTCATCGTATATTTCTTATTTATGCAGTAAGTTTTCTTTCATGTTTTAGCTTTCCACTAGCTACTCACCTGCACTCTGCCGCGAGTTAAATATTTTTATCTTCCATGAAAAATTATATATGCAAGTTTTTTCAACGCATATTTGTAGTTCAAAAAATTTAACAAATAAAAAAGTATATGCACACATGTAATCAAATAAACTAAGAATTATGTGTGCTAATAAATAAATAAAAAATCATTAACGACACCTGAAAACAAAACTTGAAAAACTGAGAGACATGTAGATCAAGATATTTAATCTTGAAAAATAGAACATTTACCTAATCATGTGTACTAATTAATTAAACGATAATAGAAATAAATGAAAATATTAAATTGATTGAATAAAATAAAAGGAAAAAAAATAACATGTAAGGTTATACATATTAAAAATATCATAATAAATATCATTTGAAAAAAATATTTGTTATTTTCATACACGTGAATATCATTTGAAAAAAAATATTTGTTATTTTTTTACACGGAGTTTATCTACACAAAAGATAAAAACAAAACCATATGTGAATCAGAAAAACCTCTCCAAAACCTAAACGCGTAACAAAAAAATCAATATTATTTAAAAGAAGTTTTGTAAACAAAATAAAAGAGGAGATATTAATGTTAATGTAATTAATTTTTTTATTTAAAAAAAGCATCAATTGAAATAAAATCAATATGTTTATTACTGTTGCTGTCTTGCGCTCCCTTTTTACATCATCCTGTCATTATTTTCCTTTGTGTATCCTGTAATGTTTGCTAGAGCTTACCCAAATGGCTAAATTTCTGTTTGAAATCCTGAGCAACGTATCAGCCACCACGATGACGTCCTCTTCTAAGAACCAGCAAAGACTTCTCAGTCTAAAAACTCCACTTCTAGGGACAACCAAACAGAACTGACAAATACCAGTTGAATGACCCTCAAGATAGGCCAAATTGGAGAAACCAACCAATACCTAGCTTTAATATTGTTAGCACCTTATTTCAGTGCTCAAACCACACTGGCCTTCTAATCTTGGTCTGAGTATTGGTGGTGGGGTTGGTGTTGAACATTGCACCCTGCTTTAGCAACTTAATTCATAAGACCATTACATTGTTAAAAATGGTATTGCGAAATAATGAGGTTAATTTCATTGCCAGGTTCCATTGGGTCTAGCAATCACATGGGCGGCTGCTTTCCTTCTTACTGAAGCAGGAGTCTATAGTTACAAAGGTTGTGATGCAAATGTTCCAGCATCTAACATTATATCTGACCACTGCAGAAAGCATGTTTCCAGGATAAAGCACTGTCGAGTTGATACTTCCCATGCACTGAAATCTTCCCCATGGTTTAGGTTTCCTTATCCATTACAATGGGGTACTCCTGTTTTTGAGTGGAAAATGGCTCTCGTTATGTGCGCAGTGTCCATCATCTCATCTGTAGATTCGGTTGGTTTCCTTTCAATGTCATGATTGACACCTCTCCTGGAGATTAACATTTTCTAGCAATTTAATTTCCTATATGCCTCTCATTTTTTTCACTTTAAATTACACTGATCTTTATCATAAAACATCCTGGAGTTTCCACATGCATAAAACCACAACCCTTTTTTACATAAACAGAATATAATTTTTAGGATTTGGCCTGGATTTCCTGGTAAAGAAAAGAAAACAGGAAGTGAACTCTGAATGCTCTGGTCGCATTGGTGAAATGGTTGAAGCTTGCTTGAGAAGCGAATACTAATTATGTTTTTACCGTCACTTGGATAGTTTTCTTAAAGTCAATCTTAGTAAAGAGGTTGCTATAATCTAAATTAGGATCATAAGATATCTCATTCTGGAAATTTCACTGTGGAAATATTGGAAAAATTTATGGCCATATGTTCTAAATATACCTTTTTTGAAAATTGCTAAGCATCGTGTCAAGAGATATTAATGCGGAAGACCCTTTCTGCTGTGGTCAATAGTGTGTTCTCTTTAAGATTGATATGTGCTGAGAGGTACTTCTTAGCACTTGACCTTACTTATTACCACTTTACCTTGTTACAAATTCAGGTTGTTTACTCTTTAAGGTTCATTCATACTTGATTCATGTATTTTTGCTGTTTTTCTCGTGGAGATTATTCATCTGTTAGCTAGCATTCATTAAAATATCTGTTGGCTGTTAAAAATAAAAAACACATATCTGGGAGAGTGCTTATGCCTGTAAAGTCAATAAAATTCTTACTTCGTGCTTACAGAAGCATAACACTCTAAACTGAGATAGTAACAGCGACATACATGAACAAAATTAACATTTATTGTTGCTCTTTGTTGTATAAAGCTGCTTCTATGACCTATTAACAATTAGATGACCATATCCCTGATTTTGATTTGGGTTTGAACCTAGGTTGGTTCATATCATGCATCTTCATTGTTGGCGGCATCTGGACCTCCAACCCCAGGGGTTGTTAGTCGGGGGATTGGTCTTGAAGGCCTTTGTAGTGTCTTGGCTGGTCTATGGGGTACTGGAACTGGTTCTACTACTATAACTGAGAATGTGCACACTATTGCTGTGACTAAAATGGGCAGCCGCAGAGCAGTTGAATTAGGTGCATGTGCTTTGATCCTCTTATCCCTTATAGGTAAGTCTTTAACTTAATAGTTTACTTCATTAATCAGAGCACTACAAACTTTTTGTCTGTAATTTTATAGTTCACAACATTGGAATTGTATGGATTGGTTGATTAACAATGATGGCGGGCTTGTTTCATTTGGTTTGTCTAAGAGACATCTTATGGAACAGTCAGCTCATGATGTGTATTTGGCTGGTTTATTTGCGGTTATTGTGTTTTTATCATTTTGCAGTTCTTCACTGTAGTGTTTTAACATGCTGCACCCAGCACCCTTTTGCCAGCATTTGCCTTGCAATGAAACCAAAATATCATTTGGTTCATTACTGTGTGATTGAAATAGCTGTTAAATGACATGCAAGATAATCGTTGCAATCTAGAGGAACTGCTCAAAAGAATTAAAGGAAGAAGACACATAATGACTAATAAACAGCTGTCAGGGCTACCCATCTTTTCCTAGGATTGTTTTGACAATGATCTTGAGTCAAAGTATAAACTATCATCTCTTGAACTTGAGAGAAAAGAACTAAAGAAAAAGGATGAAGAATTGCCCAAGTATTATGGGTGTTAGAAATTGTTAATTTTAACTTTAGTTCAAATAAACCCATCTCATAATGATCAGAGGTATGATGAATAATTTAGAAAAGATGCGTTTCACAGAACTTACAATGGAAAAGTTTTTATTCATAATAAAATCATGCTAAATTTGATGCCAACAATCATATGGTTCTGGTTGAATTATGTTGAAAAGTACTGATCTAGCATGTTAGTATCGCTTAATAATGTAAGTGAACTTGTAAAACGAGTATAATGTGCAGATCAAATTTAATTTAATACCTGTTATCCTCAATTATAAAGGTTGCCCATGGCACATTTTGATTTGGATAAAACTATTTTGGTTTTGTTTATTTATTTATTGAGCAGTAAAAGCATTTTGAATTTAGGAGCATGCACAATTGATCCAGTTCAGAGGCTCCTTCTCCAATCTTCTTTTTAATTTTCTGTACTCGGTATTTATATATCCTACTTTTCTATTCAAACAGGTAAAGTTGGAGGATTTATCGCCTCAATTCCTGAAGTCATGGTTGCTGCTCTCCTTTGTTTCATGTGGGCAATGCTTTCAGCATTGGGATTATCAAACCTGCGATATAGTGAGGCTGGAAGCTCCCGGAATATCATCATAGTTGGTTTATCTTTGTTTTTCTCCCTGTCTGTACCAGCATACTTTCAGCAATATGGCATCTCTCCAAATACAAACTTGTCTGTCCCAAGTTATTTACATCCATACATCGTGGCCTCTCATGGGCCATTCCGCAGCAAATATGGAGGGGTATGCATCTGTTGATTTATATTTACTATTAAATTTTTTTGTTGGCATGTTAAGATCTTGATAGTTTCATTATCAAACAATGTCCCTTTATTCTTCATTAAAAAATTTGCATGTTATTGATTGCGAGAAACATAAATTGAAGTTATAATGTTTTTTCTTTTTCCTTTATGTTTTCTGACCAAAGAAAAAGCGCTGCAGCATGATTGCATCTATTCTCAATTGCATTTATCATACCTCAATTTAGGGTGACTACTACCTTCAGGGATCAAGATTTTTCTGATAGATGCTCATACACTATCGACATAATAGCTGAAAGATATACTATTCTATTTAATTGTCATCTTTTAATTTGTACATTTTCAGATACATCAAAATGTGTTTTTGATTGAATTTTCATTTAGCATTTCCTTTTTTCCTTGAAACCATGGATTATTGGCTGACCTCATTTAGCAAAGAAGTCTTAAGTTCCCACTTCCCATGTTTCAACTTCAGTTTTTTTGAGAATCTCTACAGGGACTTATGCCCTAAACCTATTTTGTCAACCATAAATGGAAATTACTGTAACATCATCACAGATCGTTTTAACAGTTTTGGCAATTTCTATATTTTCGTTTGCAGTTGAACTATTTTTTGAACACGTTACTGTCCTTGAATATGGTGATTGCATTCCTTGTTGCTGTCATCCTGGACAACACTGTGCCTGGCAGTCAACAAGAGCGTGGGGTCTATGTATGGTCTGAAACTGAGGCAGCAAGGAGGGAGCCTGCCATTACGAAAGACTATGAATTGCCCTTCAGAGTTAGCCGGATTTTAAGATGGGTAAAATGGGTTGGATTTTGAGACAAAAGGCATTTTAGTTGCCATGTTGGCCATTTTCTGATTGTCAGAAGCTAATCGACAGCCATTCAGAGCGGATAGCATTGATAGAGCTGCTTATGATTCTAAATGCAAGTCACGCTCGTTTCATTTCGGTAAATAGTAGGCAACAAACTGATTTTTGTTACACGGCTGAGCCTTCTTGGGGCTATAGGTCTTATAGAGATGAGTTTTTGTGTACATTTGCGGATCCGGAGGGATCTCACGGTGTTGTAACTTGAGATTATCCATGATGTATCTAGTTTTGAATCATTGTCATTGAAATTTGTCTTAGGGGGGCTTTTTATGCTTGAGAAAACATTGATAATCCACCCGCACTATGTATATTTTTTCCAACTATATTCTTAATCACCATCACTTTACCGCATGCTGGATTTGAGATTGTATACAATGGATCTCTTTTTTTCATCTTTGAGCGTTCGTTTCACAACTGCATTGGCAAGATGGAAAATTAGTGGCTGCTTCTACTTGTCTGTCTGTATGTTGCATTGCATAACCATCCTTGTAATATTTAATAGTTGTCTTAAGGCTTAGGAGTTGAATTCCTTTCCATTCCTTTTGATATTTGTTCCTACTTCGCCCCCTAGAGTTATAATATGATTAACAAATGTGCTGTGGACAAGATGTGTGGTATTCCAGCGGTTACCAGCAGAATTTTGCTTAAAATTGCGGGACTTGCGTTGGATGTTTATCTTTCATGATGTAAACTGGATATGCTTCTCTTCATTTCTCTCGATGACTAAATAGATTTGATAAATGAGAACACATTAGCTTGCTTGATGGCTTGAAGTTGACAGCTTGTAACTTGCAAGCATTGGCTTTGCTTGGATTTTCTGTTCATGTTTCTTTGGTTCAAGTATTTCAAGGCAACAATGAACGCAACACCTTCGCCTGTATTGTTTTCTAGAAATAAAAAGAACTTTCCTACTGCGTGGGTTTTTCAACTCTGGTGTGCTTTGCTATTGGTGAACTCTTAGATTCCTGACAGATCATTTTGACCTAAAAATTTTAATGTATAGAAAGAAATATTAGTCATTACATTCCTTCACCAACATGGCTGGAATAGCTCAGTTGGCTAGAGCGTGTGGCTGTTAACCACAAGGTCGGAGGTTCAAGCCCTCCTTCTAGCGACAGAATCTATCTTTTTTTTTTATTGTTTCTATATATATATATCCTCGAATTTTATTTAGAATTTCATACATAATATTATGAAGAAAAAATCTACTCAGCATCCGAACTAAATCTTGATTTTGAAGGATATGTCGACATAGCTTCTACCTAACATCATTCATTATTTCCATGGCTACAGTTGTAGCCCAGGTGAGAAAAAGAAACAGCATCAATCACAATCAGAGAAGGCATGAACTAGGACCAGGGCAAGACATGGATCCGAGTTTCTAACTATTCATTTTTAAGAGATTAGTCAGCTAAAACATGATCTAATTCTCACTGTAATGAAGCTTGATCTATATCTTTTACTGTATCAAAACGTGGGGTTCCTTCAGCATTAAATAAAAAGTGCAGGAGACAGTAGAGTCAATGCACTAGCTGATAATAAAGATCATCACGAGCATGGCTGCAGAAGATCTACGTCCTGTTTATTGGTAACAGAAAGTCTTGTTGTTAGCTAGTGTCTCAGTCTCACCACATTTGCTACCAACAATTCCTTTATTGCTAAAGTCCATTCGATCTCATCTCTAGGACCACCCCTCTGCATTTCCCTCGACAGCCAGAAGCTGATGTCTTAAATATGCATGCCCTTAAATTTATCTGATCAATACTTTTGGGAAACTTTAGAATAACGATAGTTTGAGCATCAATAGCTTTCAAGATCAATATTGAATTTAAGAAGTAAAACAAATATTATCTAATCTGTGATGGCTATCAGCTTTTTATGATGCTAAAATAGTCAGAATATATATATATATATTCTAGTACTCTTTGAATCTAAACCATTCATTTCAGCTTAGAATTCCTTTTATGCTAGTTAGTGAATATTTAAAATGGATAGTTAACACTTCTATGTATTGAATCTGAACGTTGACTTCGAAATCAATGGTTTAAATTTAAGTCGGCAAATAGAAAAATCTTATTAATGGGCACAGTTTGATATTTTTATGATGCCTCACTTAACATATTTTTGGATTCTCCTGGCTGCTTAATTACTTTGTGCAAAACGACACCCTTTTTTTTTTTTTAGAATATATATGATGTGCAGTGAAATAATTGAGATTCACGAGATGTGGGATTATGCAATTGTTGTCTAAATTAATTAATATATCCTAGGGCTCGTTTAACTTTTTGTATAAAGTAGAGGGCACCTAGGGTGGCATTTTGTGACCATGAAGTTTAAAGGAGAGATCTGTTTTGATTCTATAATCCATATATATGTCCAAATTGTTCTCGATTATATGTGATTATTGATGTTATGTAGCAACCCAGATAATATTTTATCAGCATTTAAGAAGATCCCACTCGTTAAATACCTCTCTGTTTTGTTAGATAGTAAGCAACATGGTGGCAGATGCAATGGCAGGGGG